GAGAAAGAAAGAAAGAAAGAGAGAGTTTCGTATGCGTTTTCTACCTATCTCTGTCTTTCTTTCTTTCTTTCTCTTTGCTTCGTGCCGTTCCATCTTTCTTTCTTTCTCCCTTTCCCATACACACATACACACTCATACATACACACTTCGAAACATCTTTCTCCGTTTCTCCAGTTGAACAACACGTATGCAGTTATTTCGCATGTGCGCGCACGAAAGTTGAGAGCCCACGCGGTTTTAATGGCTCTCACCAACAAGAACGATTGGCATGCAAGCCATCTACTATCGTTTATGTGAGCGCGAAACTCGTTATATTTAATTTTTCCACCCAATCTGGTATATCTTGACTATTTGTTATAATCGTAGTATATATTTTTGTAGATTTCTTTGATCGTTCACTCTCCAATGTCTTTTACGTATCAACTAAAGAGAAAAATGATTATTAATATTAATAATGATAATAGAAATAAATAGTATAAGTGTTATTTAAATAACAATATAATATTTATTTCGATTAATTAACATTCATTTTGAATATTCTATTTATATTTCAGATTGTTCAAATACGTGTTTATTTAGATTGAATAGTGTATACCATATTTAACATAATTTAAATGTCATACTTTAATACTAAATATAATAATTTTTGTCCCACTTTGATTTCTATTTATATTTGATCAGGAACAGGGTTACATCAAACTTACTTACAAGGTAAATATTAATATTATACAATATATTTTGTAAATTAATATAATAATCGTATTATATTACACGTTGAAATAATCATTTATTGAGAATATCGATTAAAAATGTTGAAAAAAAAAATATAATATCCAATAATAAAAATATCATCCATTATTATTTCTCTTTCTTCTTCTTCTTCAAAAAAAAGGATCATCAATCGTTAGAAAAATTCACGACTAAGTTTGATTATATGTATGCAAATTATTGTTAAAATCAGTGAGAGGAAAGTTTATCAATAGAATTTAGGGTAAACTTTAGCCACTGTTTGGTACCAACAAACCCGTCAAAATACGTCGATACGTCTTCGCGTGTAATAAAAGTTTGAAGGTAGCAACTCTTTTTGAAAACCACAATAGAAAGAAAATATTATAGATGGTAAGAAGATAATAGACCCCCAATAGTTGTAGTAATGTACTGAAGTATCCTACGAGAAGAAAACGGGAATGAATGGGGAACGATTAGGTGGACTCTTATACCCCTTCGGGAATTATTTTCATTATAAAAGTAAAACGAAGGATCGTTGAAAAAGGATGGGGGACCATAATCTTTTGCATCACGATTCAATTTCGATACCCATGGGTACGTTTCTTCTCGGCAAATGACAACTACCAGCCAAATCATTTTACATTATATACCTAGATAGATATATATGATTTAAGAAATATCTTTTTATATGGCACAGCACAGTTACAAAATCATTCTAACTCTAAATTTTTTTTTTCTAACTCTATACCAAAAAAAAAAGAAAAATGTCTATCTCATATTTCAGGCACATCCTACATCATCTTTTTCTCGTCCATTATGACGATTTGAAAATACGCCTTGCCCCCGACAGACCGATTGATCATCCGAACAGCGGGTGTTTTGCGATTATTCGCCGACGTTTTCAAATCTCTTCAAGGTCAAACCCTTTGGAGACCGGACACACTCGATAAAAAGATAACGAATCTGTCTTTCGAATCCTTAAGATCGATAAACTCTGACAAACGTTATGTCTTCATTATTGTCGTATGTGTTTCATTCGTATTTATCGATATTTGTATTATATGCATGATAATTCGAAAGTATTTCAAGATCCGATTAACATTACGCAGAATTATGTTATAATATAAACAATATCAACAAATTATTATCCATATATAACGCAAATAAAATAAATAAATCTCAATTTCGTTCGGAAAAAATAAATGTTTGAAATTAGAAAAAAGTACTTTTGAAAGGAAAAAAAACAAATACAATGAGTACGTTAACGATTCGATAGAATCGTGATAAATTCTTAGGTAAGTTGATAAGTATATAAAAAAAAAGAAAAAAAAAAAATGAAAGAAAAAAATAATCATCGAGAAACTGATACGATAAAGTCAAAGGCGTATTATAGAAAATTTATGTTTCAGTGGTGACTTAGGCCAAACGATTTCTGCTCGCGAATCGGACACGCTCTCGCGACCACGGTTGCTCGTCATTAAGAGTATAATGCATATCTTAATGATTACGAAACGAAACACTGACACTGGAATGGATATGTAAGAGGTGGAATGAATGGACTCGGAACACTCGAGCATGTTTCGTGGCATCCACACACTACTGCAACCGACCCACGCTCTTGACTGCAATCAGCTCCCCATAAACTACAATCACGACACGTGCTATCGTACTGAACTCAGCGCATCCTCCAACCAACCCTCTTTGAATCTTCCACCTTCTTCTCCTGTTTGACGATTGCAACTGTACTTACTAACACGCGGTCTAAGGAAAATCATTATTATTATTTTTATTATCATTATATATAATATTAATTATTTCAATAATTTCCATTATATTTTTATTATTCATTTTTTTATCTTAAGATTGATTTTCTGACAAATGTTGTTAATGTTTGTTGGTAGACAGATTCGTTCAGGTTTCATTTTATCGTAATATTTTGTTACTAATAATTCTTTTGTTATATCTCATTCGATTTTAATTAATTAATTTAGTTGGTATAATATTTTATGTATAAGGTTTATATCGGTTTATTGATTTATCGACTTGATTGGTAATCTGAAGCAATAGTTGGTTTTTTATAGAAAAATATAAGTCGAAAAGAAGGAGTATTATATTTTTTTCGTTTCAAAAATCATTTTGTATATATAAATAAATAATTCAATGTAATATGGATAATAGTATTATATATAGTAAATATGTATATATATAATAAATGAAAGGTTTATGATTGTTCTTTTAAAAAAATTATACTAATGTAATACGTGTAAAAAATTGTTAATCATATTCACAGATTTGTGTGAAAAGATTTGTATCGTAGAATGAATTTGATTGAAAGTCGAAAAAATAGATTTTAATTAGACATTTTATGGGATTATTCAAGTTCCGATATGAAAGAAGATAAAAAGATATTGAAACCTGTAAAACATAAAATACGATTAAACGAAGTAAAAGAAAATAAATAATATTTTACTCAAATTATTTCGATCTTCTGTGACGGTATGATATTATATAAGAATAAAAAAAAAAAAAGAAATTAATTTAAATTGTTATTTGTGAATTCTACACCACGAATTTAACGTGCACGCTAACGTACACTGTAAAAAGCATTTATGTATATATATATAGATATAGATATATACATATAAAGAAGAAAAAGTGTGATCATTGTTATAACGTGGCATGTAAATCGTTAATAATCTGAAAAATTTGTAAATAATAACCCTCGTTGATCGTTTAATATTAAAACGTGGCGAGGATTCGTCGCAGTTGCCGAAAGTTGACCGGTCGTACGTACACTGTCCACAGCATCGTTTCACAGCAATTCAATTAAAACATACGATTACACGGTCAACTCGATTAATTATAATTAACGATGCGAACCAAATTACAAACGACGCTTCTCACCTTCGTTGATTCAGCCGAAAACGAGAGGGCAAATGTGAACACGAAAATAAGAATATAAAGATCGAAGAAAAAACAATATTAATGAAATAACATGTAACAAACGAAACGTAAATAAATTTTCCTATATATATATTTTATATATTATTATATTATATTATATTATATTATATATATATATTCGTTAACGTAATGTGATTTATTTTAATATTATTTAATATTAATTATATATATATATATTCCTATGAAAAAATAAATCACATTGCGTTAACGAATAAAATTTTAATATTTCAAAGATAATATTTATATTAAATATTTCGATAGACATATTGAAACATTTAAAAAGATACTTTTAAGTATACAAAACTATGCTTGAAAGAATTGAAATATATAAATATATTCTTACATGCGTGTTGTTCTAATGTATGAAAATAAGTAAGTAAGTAAGTAAGTAAGTAAGTAAGAAGAAGAAGAAGGAACGTAAAAGAAGAGGAAGAGAATAACTCGGGCGGAGTCAAGATTGAGACCACCTCCGTGAGGTTGGAATCAGGTAACATGGTGACCAATGCCAATACACTGTTCACAACCATGCTCCCGTTTGACTTGCCTTCGAGTAGAGAAGGTCTGGGACCAGTGTTGGTTTCTTATCGAAAGGGGCCTCACGAATAAAGGCGGAGCCTTCATCATCGTCTTTCCTTATCCCCCATTGGAAAGACCTACTACCATCTATCCATCTCTCTCTATCTCATACTTCTTTCTTACCTTTTCTTTAAGCAACATCTCGCTTGCTAGAAGAGACCCCTCGAGACTTCGTTTCAACCTTTTGCCCAGTCCGAGTCGAGAGTCCGTAGGAAACAGGTCCTCCTCGTTTCTATCTTCTCCGAAATATTATATTCGGTTGTTTGTTGGTTAATTAAATAACGTTTTTGAGTACTATTAAGTAATATTAATAATTAAGTACTCAGGGTATACGTAAATCGGTGTCTTCAATCGTGCAATTTGAAAATTTCTACGAAAGAAAATACTAATGAGAGAGAAAGAGAGAGAGAGAAGAATAAGAAGAAGAAGGAATCGTAATTTTGAGGACACGATCGAGTTTTCTTTGTTCTTTTCTTTTTTGTTTGAAAGAATTGAAGAAATTTCGTCGATTATAATAAGTGTTTGTTATATTATTGAGAATATTCTAATTCAGGGTGGACATATTAATTATAGTTGTCTGAATTGTTTTTAATTCTATTTTCTTTCGTTACTTTTTGGTTTCTTAATTAATAATACAATTAGTTAAATATTACGGAAAAGAGAAAAGTGTTCGGTGAAAACGTGGAGGGAGAAAATAATTTTGGCTTAAAGATAGATTAAGGGGGGTCCAGATGGCGGTCAGAGCGCTTAGTCAACATCGAATGACGCCGTATTTTTCTGGATACGCGTTTCAAGGTAAGATGATCATATTATATATATATATATGTCGATTGTTAATTAATATACTTCTTTTTATTTATATTACATATAAAACAAACGAAAAATTCTAAATAATCGTTCCCTCCATACAATTGTTTTTATTTCGATAATATCCTAACGATATTATTCAATTTTTTGAACGATCTCAAGCACCGATCTTTTTCGAAATCATTTTTCTTCTACTTAATGTACATGTTCAAGGACAAAACGATAGATGGTCAGACGTTTACTCCGAAACTCATTTAACGACTTACAAACAAGTTTTACAACCAACGATATAATGTCTGACAGGATTAGTTTCGTAACGAGTAAATAGGTATTTATTTATGGTACCTATAGAAAACAAAAGAACGATCTAAATTAACATTCGTTCATTTTCTAACATATAAATATCTGTCGGATAACCTTTGAAGATAATAACAAAATATATTTAAAATGTATTCATACTTCTTACATTTATCTATAACACACATTTGGATCTTATCATAAAGATCACTATTAAAAACTTTAGAATAAACAATTGTTACCCTCGATACCAAATACCGTAATATAATTCTAAGAACAGATATACATATATATATATATAACTAATAATAATTTATATTGAAAATTATCATTGATCTTATTTAAAAAAAAAAACTTTAAAATAATTAGTAACATAGGTAAAACATTCGTATCTTATTATAACAAAATAAAGAAATTTAATTGTACAACCACTACCATCTGCTTTATATTATACACATTTGACCTACTTAAAATGTTAACATTGGATTTAAATTATTACAAAAATGAATATATATATATATATATATAATATTGAAAAAAAAAAAACAAAGCAAAAAAGAAATCATAACGGAGTTAAGTTAATATTGTGGGCGTTGAAAGGAAGACAAGTTTGATATATCGAAAGAAAGAAAAAGATACGAAGATAGGAAAGAAAGGAAAGGAAAGGAAAAGAAAAAAAAGGTATATAAAGAAATAAAGAAAGAAAGAAAGAAAGAAAGAGAGAACTCGTGGGTACCTAATGTCCGATATCGAATTGGCCCCAGGCGACGGCGCGATGATTGAGGCCTTGCAACTCGGAACTCACACCGAACGCTAAGTACATGCATCCCTTGGCTGCACGTAGATAATCGCACATAGTCGTGTACACCTCTCTTCCTCTTGTAATTTCTTTAGAACCCTTCCTGGACGACCAACGACGACGCAAAGAATATTCAATCTTCTTGGACAAAGAGATTCTGACGGGTTCGATCCTTATCTGATCCTTAACCAAAGATCTTATCGATCTTTTCTTTCACGATCTTACCTTCTATACTTTTCTCTACTATCACGCTTAAATAAAATAAAAATCAAATATAATATATATATATTATATATATTATATAATATATTAATATAACTATTAATTAATTAAATATTAATA